ATTAGATTCCTAGTTGTAAAGGGCAGAGTTATGTGGCTTGCTGCATGGCCTGAGCAATATGAGCAAATTATTTTGTAGGCAGTGCTACAAACCCAATTTGTTGAAAGGGTTATCAACATTACTTACCTACCAAATGAAATGAGAAAATGGATGAGTCGCTAGTTACTTCCACAATGGCATGCCTACACAAACATGTTACGGAGCCAGTTATGGTGAACAACAGTGAACACATCTCTTCTGCCATTACACTACAAGTGGTTGATTGTCCAGCTTTGTCTTCAAAAAAAGCATTTCCAATTGAAACATACCCTCCTGTACTTTGGGCAAAATGCTGACGATGGAGAAACCGACGCAGGCTATCATGTTGAAGGAGATGAAGAACTTGTGCAGGCTACAGCCGTCGTCCGTCTGGGACAAGGGATGTAAATGAATGAAGGAGCAGTTAAGGAACATGGGATCACACAGGGTGATGTACATGTTGTATAAATCAGAGTGAAAGAACACTGAGACACCAACTGTGAACGCTAACTGAAACTTGGTGTGAACAACGCAGGTTCATTCCCTGACAGTACAACTTTATCAACAAGCGGTGATGTCAGTTTTCTGTACAAGCATCGATCATGGAACATGCCCTCTTGTTCCAAGAATGACAACCTGGACAGTTCGTGACCAGTAAACCACTTTGATATTTCGACAAGGCAAAGTCATTCGGGAACACAGCAACTGATGTCATGCAGGCTCAAGCACATTTAGCAAGTGAGCCAGCATAAGGCCACACTGATAGGGCTGACGTCGGTATGTGTACCAATGTTCTTGAATGACCCGCTGTATGTGCTAGCTCACTGAGACAATATGTGGGCAATACAGTTTATTAGATCAAACTGTCCGTACTCTGAATATGGACATATACCTGAGAGCTTGGGAAGGGTAGAGGGAAGTAGGAGACTCAATGTGTAACAGGTTAAAAGCATTCAAACTTTTGGGCAAATCTCAGGCTAGTCTCCAGATCTGGATTTAGATTCAAGAATTGAGCCCACTGAGACCATCCACTTCAATGAAGCTTGAACTCCAGCTACAGAAATATTGAATTACCAATGTGAGGCCAATGTATTAAATTGGTTTTGACAATATACATTAATTGAAACTGATTGTCAAGCTTGATCAGTTGAACATGGCAATGGAAGCCAAGATTTTGAGAAAAAAAGACATTGGTAACATACCCCACGGCCAATGTAGAAGATGTAGAGAAGGATGAACCCAGTAAGAGTGATGAGATAGTTGATGACGGTAGCAAACAAGAGAGCTAAGAAAAAGCAACCAACAGAATAAAACACAAATCAGCTTGTAAACTCGTCAATCCTGCCGTTATTTGCAAACACGGCTGAGGAAGAACTTACTGTGAGATGTTGGACATTTGGCCACCATTTAACTACTTCAAGCTAGATGATGCAGAGGGATATTTAAGCATGCTGTGGCCAGTTCTGCATGCAGGACCGGGTGAGGTCTATATTTGACCCAACTCTTGAGTGATTCCCACTAAGTCTGTGCACACAGAGAGGCTCATCAGACCTCACGGGGGTTGAGTGAGTGTGGTGCCCTTCAGCAGCCATGTGCCTCCGACAAGCATTATACACCTTGCAATCGTTTCAAAAGTGAAGACACCATGGGAAATGTGGCACCAACCTTGAACCACTGACCACCAAGGTTGGTATTTGTCTCAAATGTGTAATGGACCGTGGTTGTGGTGCATGTTTAAAAAAAATTGGAATTTGCTGCCAACAAACCCACCATGCCGGGGACAAGTTCACCGTGGAATATCACTTGCAGGTACTTATAGCTACTTGTCTGAGCAAACATGTATGACATTTCACGCACGATAATCCTTCCAGGTGATCTTGATAACAGTAGATTAAAATTGGACAGTGACGCACTTTAATAATAACAAACTAATAATTTCTTCATTTATAAAGTGCAAATTTCATATAGATATGTTCAAATGCACTGTACAATAAAGGCATTAAGCCTGCACTTTGCCCTCTGATTGGACAAAATTATTTGTGGAAGGAAAATGGCCCTATCCTGACTAGCACCCACGCATTGTAAATTCCAAACAGGTTTATGATGGAGAACAGTGGAGTGTGTCTCACCGTAGTACCATCCTTTGCTCTCTCCTTCCTCCATCTTCTCCACCCACTTCTCATTCCAGGAGTGGGCAAAGTCGATAATGAGAACCAGCTGGATCAGAATGAACAGGAAGGCGCCCACCATGCCGACGTACTGCCAGACTGCCCAGAGAAGAAATTAAAGTTAACCATCAGGGGAGGCCAACTATTTAACTCTACTCAACCACAGTGGCCAGAACAGCCACACATGGTTGGCGCTTTGCTCAGGTATTCCTAGTAATCAATCAGTGAATGAACTGAACTGAGATTGGCCAAGTGGAATGGGTTTATCAGTGATGCACTCTGGGTAGCAGGAATGACAAATGTAATGTGACCAACCAGTACAAGGTAAAGACTGTGATGTTGCCAAAATTTGAGCAATTTCCTATTTGATTTTTCAAGAAATTTGCAAAATGGCTTCTATCTAACATCTACACAAGAGGCACTGACGCATTTGTTGTTGTTTTTTTTCTGAGCAATGAAAAATTTATTAAGACGAATCCTAAGATGCCAGAGGTAATCATAATATTTTCAATCTGACCACGAAGCACTGCTAAAAATCGAACTGTGCGTATTGATTTTTGCAGAAGGAAAAACCTGGAGAACTCGGAGAAAAACCTTAGTGGTTCAAGAGTGAACCAGCGAAAAACTCTAGCGGTGAGAGGCCAGTGGTTTACACACTAGCCACCCATGCTAACGCGGTATCAGTTGTGCACTGCTACAGAACATATCAATCACTAACATCTTGAATCACCACCGTGAGTACATGTACATTTGCAAGTTTTGGTAGGTGGTTTAAAATCTGTGAAGGGTATGGGGGAGGGGGAACGAATACAGATCTTGCAGGTATTCACCTTCCTCAAAGGTGCCTAAAGGGATGAAGAAGGCTCCAACGCCGACACCGAGCAAAATCAGAATCTTGAAGAACCAGAATCTAGACAGGAAGAAAAAAAAAAAGGCAAACGTGGATGGAACATCCTGCATTGCATTGGGATACATTATACCCATTATACTCAGCTCATACATATGCCATCTCTCAATAACAAACAAGTGTAGCATCTCACCTTCAAAATGTCAACACTCATTTACACACACACAAATTGCTGCCAATTGTAATTGTAACACTTCACAGCAAGGGTTAACGAACATCAAATAATTACCCGTTGTGCAGTCCAGCCCTTGGATCTTTGCTGGTCTTGACTTTGATCATGATGACCGCAAAGAGAAAGAAGAAGCAGGCCATGGCAAAGCAGAGGCGGTACACGCCAAGGTAGCCTCCAAAACGCTGGCATACATTTACATCTTTCTGTGCCTTATCACAGATGTACGGAATCTGACCAAAACATGGCATGACACAAATGTGCAAAGTGTCAGAGGAAAAAAAAAAATCTTCTTTTGAAAGATTAGGCTCGGTGCAGGAGCTACATTAATAATGATGAGACGGGACCTCTACACAAGCACCAAGAAAATACATGTGCACACTGGTTTGCACAAGCACATAGTATAGAGTGCATGCTTCAAGTTTTTACCAGAATGTGCACAAAAGGTACCCGTTGCACCAACATGTGTGTATATATAAAGAATAACTAATCATTCAAACTCATGAAAATGAATAGTTTCAACCATTTTACTACATGTCTGTATCAAATTGGGTGGCTAAGACAAACTGAATAACGCACATTCATGTATGTACACGTACACATACATGTATAAACGGACAGACATCAGAAATGGGTCCTATTTCCAGCACGCATCACAGTAGTCGTGATCTTCAGATATGTGGTAATTGAATATCAACACTGCAGATTTCATGCGACAGCAAATTTGGGCTATACTGTGTGTGAAATTTCACCATTCAATCCACTGCTATTGCAATTTGAAGTAGGATTTGAGGATATGACAGCAACAATGTCACGGTGTCTACATGTATATTTATTAGATCCCCACGGTCAAACTCAAGTTGCTCTCCACACGGCAAAGAGGCAACATTTGCAGAGCCAATTCTACAATGTACATGTACCTTAGCTTTTCCAATGCACTGCCTGCTCTTAAAAATCCACCGATGTACCTGAAACTTGCAGGTCAAACCTCTCTTTCAAACCCAATCTGCATTTGTTTGTTTGCGCAACTCAACAAGACTTACACGTAGGCTTTGTCCCAAACAACTGGCTGTGGCTGGGAGTAATATGAAACTCTACAGGAATTAGCCACAGCCCCAACTAGTGGCTTCCACAGGAGCAAGTGGCACTCCAATCAGAATCTAGGTAATTCAGATTCTCTATTCTAACCTCCTCCCCAACCCTCCCCAACCACTTCAGAGCCTTACCTTCTGGATGGCCGTCTGGATGCCTGGAATCAGGGCCAGGCAAGATAGGAACGTTCCCAGCAGTAGAATCAGGCCATACACCAAGCGCGAGGCCGTGGAGTTCTTGCAACCGGGGCAGAAGCTGCAACAGCAGGAGCAAGCTGCTGAAGTACAGCAGCACGCCAGCTATGAGGAAGGAGAAACACAAAATGCCTGTGTGATAGGAAATGATGTGTAAACTCAACCCCAGAATGAAACTACATGTACATGTAACCCCCACAACAACCCCAGATTGGTTTATCCACCATTTAAGACAGGTTGCTTGGGTCAATTGTGCCTTTTGGCATACTCCAATGACTGTTTTGTAAGACTCATAGCAGCGTCCAGGTTACACCTACATGTACATGTGCATGTATGTACCTGTAAGTTGGTGTCCACTGAATGGGTGCACTAACCATTGCATTACATGTATTCTCTTTACCATTTCACACAACCATGGTGACAACAGTCGTCAGAGCATCTGGTAGCCACTCACTCACATTTTCATGCAGTTACACCCAATTACCAGTCATGCCAGGAGTTGAAATTTTCATTTGACAGGAGGCAATGTGACAAGAATTTGATAACATTTCGTCACTGGCACTGTTTGGGCCTAAACATGTACATGTAGTTCGACCAGTGTTCAAGCAGCTTTCATTTGATGGTGAGAAAGGTGTGGGTAAGCAAAATTCTTATAGATTTCACCATTTTTGTTACATGTACATGTACAGTTGGATAAATGAACATGCCTTGTTGACATCTTCCCGTATCAAGAAAGGCCCTATGGGGCGTAAATATTCATGCTGGCAGTGTGCATGTACAAGTCAATCTTGGGCACAATTGCCTTATCTGCATGATCATGGATGCAGGTCAACTCAGTCCAAAGCCAACTCTGTCTGAGTCAACTCAGTCCTAAGACAACTCGGTCAAAAGTCAACTCGGTCCAAGGTAAACTCATAACATCAAACACAGTGCGAACGGTATGAACGGAGCGACAGTCAACGGCTGGAAGTGAGAAATTGGTGAGCAAAAATCTCATTTTTTTTTCAAGAATACTCCATCTCATGCTCTGACATTTCTGAGCTTTTGTTATCCCCTTTTTAGGAGGTAAACTTTTAAGTAGGTATGCTGACAGGGGAAAATTTGATTTAGGCTAATAGCTTTCTTACGGCTGTGAACCATTTCACCACAAAAATTCAATTCCCAAACCCCATAGCTTTACGACGCCATGTAAACTTTGTCTCCTCTAAGTCACATGGAGTAGGCCCCCTACCACGGAGTTAGTGAGTTAGACATGTTAGAGTTTTCGAAGTAGAAGTACATGTAGGCCTAGCCTAGGCTAGACTTAGACCCGTAAACTGGGCCCAACGAATACTCCTCCGTTATAAACTGGGCCCTGTCTCGATTAATAGGGGTTTCTTTTGAAAACTTTATCCGGGACATCCGGGGGCACTGGCCATGGCCACATCTACATAACGAGCATTTCAATTGGTCAATTGGTCTCCGCACAGCGCGTGACAAATTTTGCAATTGGATGAATTTCCATAATTATTTCTGAGACGTCCGCAAAGAAAGAGTGTAGCGATTTGAGTCGTCGGCCCCCTGATTCCAGTGCTTCAGATATGCGGACGAATGTTTCGCCAAAGTTTGGGATAATTATAGTGGCTGCCCCTTGCTTTGCTTTATTTCGGTGGTATTTTACCTGCACTTACGGCAACCGACTCGATGTCATCTTAGCAATGACCGAGAAGAGTAGTGGACTTTTAGAAATTAATGAAAGTTTTTAGTTATTTATTTTTAGTCGTACAGTTGTCGCGACACAACCGCACATGCTGGGGCAGGGACGGTGCGAGGATTGGTCACAACTTTAACGCCCGGCACGCCAGGCCCAGGATTGCGCGGGGGTTACCACAATGATGCCCAGCACGCTGGGGCCGGGGATCAGCCGGGGAATACAAAAAAGGTTGCCCCGCCCTGGCCGGGCAAATTACGGGGACTTGGCCGGGACTATCACGCTGGCCCTGTTTTATATTCACCGCTAAGTCCCCGCTAGTCCCGGGTCCCCTGGGGCCGGGATTACAATTGGCAGATGCATTACACCTTCAACAGTGGTCAATGACAATCAATTCACAATTGAAAGAACTTACCCCAGCAACACCGCACGGTATGCACATTTTCTCCACCAAATCCTTTGATGTGGGTCACAGAATACAAACAAACGTCACCCTTTGTTTTTGTTCTCTGCCTGTTTTAATTTCTTTTTCGTTTATTTTGGAAAAATACCAGTAAATAGCTGTTTCAATACGAGCAGCTCCTATCACCAGCAGATCTGTCTAAAATGGCCGACGTCCGTAGACTGTACACTTGTTTATTTTTGTGCGTCACACGTAGATTGTACATGTACATGTACATGTACGGATGTACACACGTACATATACGTAAAGATACGAATTTTGAGTCTGCAACCAGACTTGAAAAAAAGCACTGCAATGTACATGTACATGTATATACATAGTACATGTCCTGCTATTTGTGTAACAGAAACCAGTCGACACCTGACGTCATAGATTATTCACGATCACGAGAATTAGAACAACGTACGCTCGTCATCGCGTCTGGCGCTATCGCCTAACGTAAAAAGATATAACTGCAGGTTCTGAATTTAGCATGTACAAATGTATGAATAATTATTCTATTTATTTATATTTTATTGCATTGCTCTTTTCACTGGCCAACAACGTATAAACAGGTATAAAATATACAGCATTTATCATAAATAGTAAAATCCATAAAATTGCAAAAAATACAAAATAGCACAATAAAAGAGCAATCCTGACTGAAGTAATGAGCCAGTGTACTCAAAGATTTTGAATAGTTTTCAAAATGTGTTCATCCTTAAGTTCTGTCCCTTTAATCTTTTATGTAGTGGCTATGCATGAGTCCTTTTGAATCATATTCGAGGACTCATCAGTCTTGGACTAGCCGTTTACTAGCTTGAGTGTTGCAGAGGAAGTTAAGGAGCTTGAAAGTAATAAGGGGGAGGGGCAGTGGTATTATGGGGAGGAGGGGGCACGTGCTCTTCAGCGGAAGTTGGTCGTCCCCCTGCCCCGGGTGCCCCCAAGTTGAAATCTGTGAATCAATCTCCATTGAGTTTATATAGCTATGCAGCTGCAGCTTATTTTGTGGGTACCCACTTGAAAAGTGGGCGCCACGGATGCCCCCCGGACGTTTAGCCTACTGGAGAAGGGGGGGGGGAGAAACATAGTAAAACAGAGGAAGGAGATGAAATCATCAGTTTCCATGCCAGTGCTTTGCAAGGGAGTTTGTGAGCGCTCCCCCGGCTTTGTCATGGGATCAGGTTCGATCTAGTTCCATCCCCCCACCGATAGCCAATAAACGAGATTTCTTTAACTTCCTTGGCATGTCCCAATACAGGTCAAAAGATCTTAATTTAGTAAGTAGTCCTGTAACTTGTGTATCATGTCAGACAGGTGCCACGTACTCTTCTGCAACATAATTATATACAAACTGGTCAGCTAGTCTCAGCAAAGATATATACTGAACAATTTCACGAGGGGAAATTCCTCGATCGTGCGTACTTCGATGCTACGGTCCTCACGAATCAATTTTCGTTGCGGCACAGCGTTACCACGATTGTTCGAGTTTACTGTCGTCTGGTCAGACATAATATACACGATTCGTGCACGTTCTAAAACGTGCACGAATTTTGTCATGTGTCTGCTGCTTTGATAGGCGTGTATTAGTATCCAAAAAATCTTGTGTTCTTGTTGCACAATATTACATGCTTTTTGTTCCTTTTAATGAGTATGAAGTTCAGACGTCTTGAGGCAGCAGTTAAACTGTAAATGCGTTTATTTGCTGTGAATTTATTCGTGCACTGAATTTCAGTTGTACGTTATAGATCTCATCTTCTTTTAACTTGTTCATGCTGAGAATCTGCTTGAACAGGCCCTGTTGAGCGCATTGGGACATGTTGTTTGTAGCCGTACATGCTAAATAACACGATACATTATAATGTGATATATGTATATCGTGTCATTAGACTAGTAGATTTTTGATCCCATGTTACATACTATGTAGTTGTCCTAATGTTCTGGGCCTATCCTGGGGGCCCAGCAAACTTCCCAAAGTCATATCCCCCTGGCAGGCAAGGTCACAGTATTGGTGGCGCCATAATGTTGCTCTTCTCACAAAATGGCAGTCGATAATGATAAACACAAAGCGCCATTCCTTCTAAGAATCATCTTAAGTTGTTTGTGATGCTAGTGCTGCTGAATTAAAGAAAGAAATCAAATATGCTGTCAATTTATTTTCTAAACATGAAGCGCAGAGAGAAATTGCGTCCATTGTAGAAATATGTCATTCGTAACAACATGGACAACTTCTTGTTGCAAGTCTACGCCGGAGTGAGCCGGGAAATCTGGGAGTAACTTACCGATCAAATTATGACCAAAGGGTCAAATATGACCCCAAAAGGGTTAAAATATCACCCGAAAGAGGGTCATATTTTGACCCAGAAAAGGGTTATACCGAATGGGACCCAATTCTGGGTCAATCTGACCCGGAAGTTTTTAGCCGACTTTTCAGACGCCCCCTCCCCTTGTATGGAGTATAGTACGCAGTGGCTCCCCCCGTACGCATACGCATTCCACATAATTATCTTTTGACTTCTCAGGTTGCCTTGCTTTGGCTGCGTTAAATGTCACAGTACATTGTGCATCTACTGTACTACTGTTATTCGCACGTCGCTTCCAAATTCTAAAATAAATGACCAAAGTAATAACAGGTTTTATATTTCTTTATTAACGGCCAGAGAAAATGTTTAAATGTTTAGGCTTAAAAAGATGTTGTTTGAATAAAACAATAATCATCCTGCGGTACCTGTTTTCTCTAATGCACGTAGTTACTTTGGACCTTATGTTTTAATACAGCGAGGAAATATAATACTGTTTTGCACCTAAGAAAAATGATTTCGTACTAATATGCTTAGGTTTCCGTGAATACTGCTAAAATACAAGACGCATTGCAAAATTATTATTTTTGGTGATTGATTAAAGGCAAATTTTCGGTTTACGTACGGTACGCACTGGCTTGAACCACCCCCCCCTTGTACGCATCGTGTACACGATGACACTAAAACCCCCTAAAACTTCCATTCTCAAGGAAGGTTTGTGTATCTCACAAGCGCCCGAACAACACTGAATATACAGTGGAATATAGGTCTACGCCAATGAAGGGAATAGGCCTACAGTAAGACAAAGGGTTGAAGATCGGTTGCAATTTTCGTCTTACACCAAAACGAGAAGTTTTCTTAGTAACTGCGTTGATTTTGCACACTATATTGCACAAAAAGAGAATTGCCTATGGTGAACACATGCAATTTAAATACCAAAATGTCTAAATATCCTGAATGCTTTGGTGAGATTTTTGAACAAGAACAACATTAATTTACACAAATGTGGATTTTGTAACTAAATATTTCAAATCGTTGTGATTTTGAGATAGTGAATGAATATAAGTGAACTGTTGCAGATCAAGAAAGAGATCGATAGAAATCTTATAAGTTTTGGTTTGCTGTCGTGAACCTTTAAGCTACGACACTTTTCTTGTCGTTTGATACATGATCAAATTTCCCTATATGACAGTGTGCAAAATCATCATGATGAAATGTCATATTGACAAGATATAAATTGAAAGACCTCCTGCCTAATTCTGCAAACGTCGGGGCATACGACTACCCAGCTACGGTTGGTGACAACACGTTGTTAGTATGACAAGACAAGAGATAGTTTTTCGTGACCATGACCAGAACCCTACACAAGGACTTTTGTCAATATGACAATGCCTTCCGGCAATTTCGAAAATCTTTTTAAAATCTTACTAGTATGACAAACACAACTTGAATACCGACGAGCAGTGACAGGAACTTACGTACCCAATTTGTCTGTGTATTATACAAATGCCAAACAAGATAAACAGGTAAACGTGGTACTTACTCCAAAAATTGTAGAAATTAGTGTGATGTATATTTGCACACAGAACTATAGAGACACTACACTTTTGCCTTGGATGACAACACGCTGTGGCTGATGAATATGGAGGTATTCATGAGCATAAAACCCAAACAAATTTATTTTTTCCTTGTCGGTGCTTCATTGGGGAGGAGAGTCAGTAAGTTCGCAATCTTATTACAGGCTCATCGTCTTGCTAAGGTAACCTTGTTACCAAGTAGTACCTATAAGCTAAGATGCTAGGATTACAGGAGTTACTGTCAAAAGGGCAAGATCGTTCCAGTGAAAATGCAAGAGCATACGGAACGGAAAGTAGACGCATATTTCATGCACTGCGTCATTACTTCTAGGAAATTCTGTCTTCAAAGTCCTTCCCTTGGCAGGAAACCACGCATTGAGTTTTCGCTGCCTCAAAAATGGGACTTCATAGGACAATTCTGCCAGTCTATGAAGGCGTAAATATCTACGAAACGTCCCTCTGACATGTCCTGATGATCACTTATTTTCAGCGCTGCCATTTTTATTGCATTATCTGCAATGAAATTGCGGGGAAAAACACACACAGAGAGTCCAAAAGATAAGATTCACAGTGCTTTCTACGAGCTACCAGCAGTATTTTCCATGAACACCGACGTCTCATTTGGACCGAAAACCCAAAGTGTTTCCCCTGTAATGTTTCACGTGTGATGGCCTCTCTGTGCATGCAGACAGGGCTCGTGATTGGTTGTTCCATCCAGCAGCCATAGGTGTCATAGGTGTGAAATTATCACAAGCGCATGCGCAGTTGGTAAAGAGGTAACTTCATCACTGCAAGCTACAGTCACCGTTTTAGCAGATACGAATTTAAAAAGTTTTTTCCTTAGTAAGTAATTTAGAACATAGTTTTAAATGTACATAACATCAATATTTCGAAAAGGCGATTGCACACAACCCTTTCAGTTTTTAATTCTATTCTAATTATCAAGTGGTCAGTATATGGAAAGAAAATCCGATGAGTTGCTCCCTCGAATTGAAATGGAATATTCCAAAGTTCCCCCCTGTAATTTCTTCTTCCTCTTGGTTGACATCGTGCGTCAACTGCGTAGCATTTCCACTCCGTCACTAATGGCCTCTTCCGATCAGCTCAAGGTACGCAGTGCCAGACCCTTCTACTGGGCTCTTGCTGTCGAGACCTGAAGCCGAACAGTTAGCATTGGTAGCTACGTGACCCTTTGCTGACTCCCATCCTCCCGTGGTGGGCCGCATAAAAAGGACGGGGGACAGGGTCGGGCCGACCAAGCTGGAGCTGACCGTGTTCGGGTCTCCATCACTGATCGCTCACCAGGCCGTCCCGGATGCATGTGGTCCCTTACCGTGGGGCTAACTTCGGCGTAGGAGGAGCCCATCCTGGTCAGGCCTCGTCCCTCGGGCGTGGGCAGCGATACCGGCAGGACTACAATCGGGTGGACCACAACCGGCCGCCCAGTCTTAACTTGGCCTCGCTGCAGAAGAACTTTAGCGCGCTGTGGGACCGGACCAAGAGGAAAGTCGAAAAAGGTAGGCGTGGCCATTACAAACACTGGAACATGTTGTCTGTCAGACTACCTGACGGGTGTGGTCGCAAAGATATGAAGGGTGTGGTGTATGTAGACTTGCTAAGGCATCACGGTCTGTAGCTTTGGCGGGATTGAGTCCTTCAAAAGTCAGAACGACTCGCTAACAAAGGCCTCATACCAGAATGAAAGGAAAAATGCTTGCTAATTTTGTCACACAAAACTCTTAAACTTATACAACTGCGAAGGCTGAAATGGTAACAACAATTTTATACTTCACTTTCCAAATGCGGGTTCCATTATTTGCTTTGCAGTGAAACGTTGATATTAATTGAGTTGCGATAGAGACATTTTTGGCAACTGTTTGCTCATGATCCACATATAGCAATTATTTGGACAAATTCGGGAAGAGCATTTCCTCGATTGTAGTCCAATGTACCTTCGTAACGTGCATTTCAAAGCTAGCCTGGTCTTCCAAGCAGTCCCGTGTAGGTCGCTATGATGATCGCCCTAGAATATAGTCCTGTAGGAAGACGCTGGCTCAAGCTATTTTCTGATTCGTTCCTGTGATTCATACTGGATCGCTTCCGGACCAATTAGTGTGCACATGCGAAACAGCATGGACACTTCTAGGAAGATGGCATAGAAGTTTCTGGGTGTTCCAATCAAGTCGTATCCGAAAAAATGGTTTCTTGGAGGGTTTTTACAAGTTATGAATAACTTTCCCTTCAGCCGGAAAGTCATTATCATGCCAAATTCAAAATGGGTCGTGCAGTCTTAGTGGGAGAGTAAGGTTACTCGCTCGCTAAATGTCATCTCAGGTCGCTATACTCCTCATCAAATTGATCATGTCAATTCATAAATTTACAGTTCCTATCCAGCCGATCGACGGTGGGTTTTTATTTGGATCTTGTGCAAGGTGCTTTCGCTATTCGTGACACCTTCCCAAGCTTATTTTCCCGCATTTTTTGTGTACTTTTTGGATGTATAGGGAGACTTTTGTTATTCCCAGGAGGAATATTTTGGCCATTTTACAATTTTAAACGTAACGTGCATTGCCCAGTGTTAAACTAAGCGAGGATTTGTAGTTCATGAAGTGGTAAACAATAAACATATATACAATTCGTTTTAAACATCGTAGAAACACCAACCTTTTACAGACATAAACACAAACAGGCATACTGAACACACCCCCGAGTGGTATTATACGCTTCCATTTATGTCAGGGCAGATGATCAAGACATCCCCCTCCAACTTAATGTTGCTTACACGTATGAATAATCTAATGACAGCAAGAGATGGGAATGTTGTGCTCTAATTTGTCGTGTCCTGTTCTGATTTTCTCTTACTAATATGAAAAGTTAATTTATATAACAGGTTTTGCCCTTACCCAACGTATATATTAATAAACACTGTATGCTTAGTGCTCGTCCGAGAGCTTGCGAAAAAGTCACGGGCTTACTCGGGTGGGACT